TTAAAATTTAACTGAGTGTCCTGTATTTTTATTTGTTAATTCTGGCAACCTCACACTAGATGCCAGTGGTACCCATCAATTGTGACAACTAAAAATGTGTCTAAACCAAAAACCAAACCCTTTGCCATAGAGATGATTCTGACTCATAGTGACCCTGTAAGACAGAGTAGAGCCACCCCATAGAGTTTCCAAGGCTGTAAATCTCTACGAAAGTGGACTGCCATGTCTTACCCCCACGGACTGGCTGGTGGGTTTGAACTGCCAACTTTTTTTTCTTAGAGAATTATTATCATAATTGTTCTTCAAAATCTTCTTCCAAATAATTCCATTTTAAATATTTTCCTGGCACATACTATTTTATACTTTTCTCTGTCCTGCTTTTTCACGTGCTCCCTTATTGTATTTTTTATAAGAGCACTTAACCACTGCACCACCAGGGCTCAGTGCCAAATGTCGTCTAGTTAGCAAAGTCACCTTTGGTTGGGAACCCCTGTCCAAAAGGGATCAGGCTCTTTGCACATGGGAATCCCATGAACTATTTTCCAAATGTTTTACTTTTACTTACCCATTTAAAATCTCTTTATTTTAGACCAGCCACATCCAGGTTATTTTTCTAGAGTTTATCATTTATTTCACTGATTTGATGTAATTGACTCTTTATTTTCTGTAATGTTGAATATTATTTATTAACTTTATTGCTGAGTATTACAATATTTCTTTGCAATATTCTCTTTCCTTTCTTAGACAATTAGTATCATAATTGTTCTTCAAAATCTTCTTCCCAATCGTTCCATTTTTAATATTTTCCTGGCACATGCTGTTTTATACTTTTCTCTGTCCTGCTTTTTTAATGCTCCCTGATTATATTGTTATAAAAGAGGCGGCATTCTTGTTAAATTTAATTCTTTAATCTGACTTGTCTGTAATTTATTTCTTTGAGATGTTCATTTTTCTTTTTTCTTAGCATACTGACTGTCATCAAATGAGATTCTATAGTCTCCAGCTGCCATATTGTGGAATCCCACTTAATTTCTAATACATGCCATTGCCAAGGGTCTCTATGAGTCAGAATCGACTCGACGACATTTTGTTTTCTTGTTTTTTTCCTTCTACAGGTAACCCATCAGTTGTCATCGAGTTGATTCTGACTCATGGTGACCCCATAGGTGTCAGAGTAGAACGGAGCTCCATAGGATTTTCAACGACTGATTTTTCAGATGTAGGTCACCAGGCCTTTCTTCTGAGGTGCTCCGGATGGCCTCCAACCCAAAGCAGCCGCCAAGCGCATTAACCATTTGCACCGCTCAGATAACCAGCTGAGTAAAATTTAATTTTTGTTCCAAAGATTCAGATTCTAGAGTCTTGATCTGCTGGTTATAACATTTTTGATGATTAGGTTTGCTTAATGCTTCCAAATGAAAACATTTATAGAACAGGGCTTATATTTAGAAATAACTCTTAATGACATGTTAATTTCAATTGACTTTATTTTCATATTTTCAAATGAAGTTTTTATTAAACTGCAGGCCATGTTTACTTTTTTCATTTGGGTTCTCCATCCTAGTTTTAAATGATTAGTTGAATTCTCATTTTTAGGTATTAAATCTGTATGTTTGTGCATGTAAATCTGCTTATACACTCACATTGATACACGTACATAAATACATAGTGCAAACCTTGTTGTATTTCTATTCATGTATGTTTATCCAACAGATTAATTAAATTAAAAATGAAATAATCTGTCTTTTATAGTGCCTAATGTAAAATACAATATTAATGTATTATAATTTTGCTATTAAATACATAATGTCTGTATCTAATGCAGACAAGCAATCTTTTTCTTTTAACTTTAATCAGGCAGGTATTTTCAGAAATGATCAGTAATACATCATAGAAAGTAATGAGAGAAGAAAAGATAAGTGAAAATAACATATTTGGAGTCCCTCCTTTGTTTCTTTTTCTTCCTTTTTTTCCCTCAGAACATCACCACTCAGATCAGGCATGCTTATGAGAATGAGGGTTTCCCTCCTTTCACGCACACTTCAGCTTTCTCAAGACAGAGAGAAGCCTGGTTCAGTTGGCTCGTTCCAAAAATATCAGTACAAACGCGTGGCCAGAGGGATAGAAAAATACTAGCACAGTAGCAAACATCTTTGCTATCTTACTGTCTAAAATAGGATAGGTCGACATTAGCAAAAGAGTGCTCAAATATTACGTAACAAAGAGAAGGAGGAATGAAATCATCGCTTTCAGAGCTCTTATATGGCTCTCTGTGTGAGGGTCCCTAGAACCTATGCCCTAGAGCTTCATCTGTCTCATATGGCTCCATAAAGACAGGATTAAAAGGGTGAAGGAGGTCAGTGATGCTTCAAAGAGGATGAAAAACACCATGTTAAGGAGAATCTGAGAAGTTAAGAAATCATACATAGTCATTATAAAGGTAAACGGCAAGTTTCTTTCCATTTTTAACTGGTTGCCCATCTGGCTATTAATTAATGTTTCCTTCAAAAGCAGACACATGCAGGAGAAGAAAATTGTCCCCAGAACCATCATGAAAAGCACCCTGTAAATTCTCCATTTCATCCACAGAAAAACAGGATGAGAGAATTTGGCTCTCTTGAGGAAATTGAGGACACTGAGGCATGTGGTACAAATAGTGCAGAAATAGTTTATTTCTGTCCAGCAGAAGTTAAAAGTTACCCCTAGAGTCCTACGGTAAAATATTTTCTCATAAATCACATTGAAACCAATAGTTAAAATTGTCACCCACAGAAGACATAGCCTGGAGCTGGCCAAGCAGGTGAGAATAAAATCAATCAAGGAGACTTTCCGGTTCCTGATCCGGCAATGCTGTAAACCAGGACAAAGAAACCATTTCTTAAAATCCCCAATATGAAATCTACAACAGAAATGATCATAAACAGAGTCTCTACTATACTTGACATGTCTGTTAATAGCTGATATCCGCCTTCAGTACAACACCGACTGATTGTTCACGGCTGTGTTGTTACCGATTTCTGTGCCCAAAGCCATAATGTTCAATGCGTGGCTTCTTTCTGTTTTATTGATGGCTTCTGGCAAAGGCTGGGAAGTCTCAGTTGTACTCCCAAAAAAGGTCTTCAGTGAAATTGTAAAAACTACACCTATTTTTCTCAAGAATATCAGCTAGTAATTTTCAAGGCAGATATTATATTCTCTGCGGCTATTCACACTGGTTACATTTTACATTCAAAGCTTTGCATTGGAATTTGAATCCTCATTTGTTAACATGCAAAATGGACATAGATTTTCTTTCATTGTTTTACAATGTCATTCACTCCCTAAAATTTTTATATTTTGATTCATTCATCTTGGTTTTGAACTAGGAACCTAAAGCCTCAATCTAGAAAATGCAGTAGATATCTAAAATTTGTGATCAGCATATGTCTTTATTGCCAGCCTCACCAATGCAAACCTAATGTTTAAGAAAATTCAGAAATTCTCCTCTCTAATGTTACACCAATAGCTTTTAAAGTCTTTGGAAGTTTTAAAACTTGGTCACAAATTCTTTGACACGCCTCCTGTTGACATCTGGAGTCTCTGTCTCCTCTCCTCAAATCTAGCATGGTTTCTGACTACTTCAACAAATTAAAAAATCTCACAAATGACACTGGAAATTCTGAAGCTAGTAATAAAAGGCCGTGCAGCTTCCGCCTGGATCACTGGAACACTTCCTCCTGAGCCCTAAGCCACCATGTAGGTAGTCCAACGATCCTCTAGCCAAAATGCTGTGTGCAAACCCAAGCCAGATGGAGAGGCCGCACGTAGGTCCTATTGTCAACGGTCCCAGCAGAGCCCAGATTTGAAATCTTTTTATCCCAGGTCCCAGGCATACGAGCCAAGAAGAATTTATATCTGTGCAATCTAATACAGTACCCACTAGTCACGTCACATTTGACTATTTAAAATTAAATTTTAAGTAATTAGACTTAATAAGATTAAAAATTCCCTTTCTCAGTGGCACTAGCCACATTTTAAGTGCTCGGTAGCTACATGTGACTAATGGCTACCGTACTGGACAGCACAAATGCAGAACATTTCTATCCTCGCCCCGGTGCCCTGGTAGTACAGTGGTTACGAGCTCGGCTGCTAACCAAACGGCCAGCAGGTCACCAGCTGCTCCTTGGAAGCCCTATGGGGCAGTTCTACTCTGTCCTGTAGTATCCCTATGGGTTGGAATCAATTCGAGGGCAATGAGTTTGATTTTTTTTTTTTTTGAAGAGGGAGAGGGGAGGTTTATCATTGCCAAATACTCTATTTCTCTGCTCTGCTGAAGCTGATTTTAGCCTCTAGTCGTTCGAATCACCTCCAGATTAACCGTTTCCACCACCTAATGGACTCCTCCAGTAAACATGTGATAGGTCTCCTTTATTATGGGATCTCAACGCACGTAGAAAAAAAAAACACCTACTGCATTTGAGTGGATTCCGACTCATAGAGACCCCATAGGGGGTTTCCAAGGCTGTAAATCTCTACAGAAGCAGACTGCCACATCTTTCTCCTGCCCAGCTGCTAGTGGTTTCTAACTCCTGGACCTTTTATTTAGCAGTCGATCTCTTTCACCCCTGCGCCACCAGGGCTCCTAAGAATAGGAAATTACAATTCCCTTCTGGTTCTTGATTTAACATTGAAGGGCCGCTACCAGCCAAAAGGTTGGAGGTCCAGATATTAACATCTAAGTGTGTTGTGGTACAAATTTTTAAACTGCAATGGAATCTATCAATGATTTTCCAAAATAAGTTTCAAATTCTTGGTAATGTATAAATGCACTTCATGTGTATGTAATAAACTTAGGTGAGACGTTGTTCTAGATTTACATTTGAAAAATTTACAATGACCTTCTCAATGGAAAAACTTGGGGAAGTATAAATATCTTTCAACAGCTCCTCTTTTTTTTTTTTTTTATTTTAACCTGGAACATACAAAATTACTTCTGAATGGTCTGTGGAACTGTGAGTTTCTCATCTGTCAGCCCTACCTCTGCAGCCACAGCAACAAAGAGAGGCCTGCCTTAGCTTAGAGTTCCCCAGAATCAGGATAAATGAATAGCTTGGTGGATAGACAGTTCCAATAACCTGGCCAAGCATCTGGAGCAGTTTGTTTTGAAGTATATGAGACATCAGTGCTATCAGATGGGCCAGAAAAAAAAGTACCATAGAGTAGGAGGAAGGAGATCACAGTTTTCAATGCATTTATGTGGGCCTTGGTCCTGGGATCTCTGGGTCTTTTGGAATGGAGTTGCAACCTATTGAGATGTTTCCACAGGGAGAAGATTAAAGCAGAAAAGAGACCAGGGCTGCAGTAAATGGTATTAGTGTAAAGATAGTCTTTGTGAGTGTGGTTAGCCCTGATAATGTTGCAGAGTCTCTTATTCTGGAATTCCAAGTTGTGTTTTTTTATGTACATGAATCCAGTCATTAATATATGCATTTATTTGTATCAGATTTAAAAACAAGAAGACTAAACTTCCTAGCAATATCATCACAATCAGTTTTTTAACTCTCCGTTTTAGGTAGAGAAAAAAAGGGCTGGAAAAGCTGGCAATTTTGAGCAAATAAAAAATGCTAAGGCTCATAGCAAGCCAGATGCTGAAATGATTGGTAACTATCCAGGTAAAAGTAATCATTCTTAATCCTGGACCAGTCTTAAATAAGGCAGAATAATACAGAGATCCAAACCAACTTACTAACATTTCCCAGAGCAGACCAATTCTGGAGAGCGCCAAGCCAGTGAGGATTTGATCACTAAGGAGAGCTTTCTTCTATTGGCCCAGTCAATGCAGTTTATCAGTACTATGAATCCGTTGCCCACATTCCCAATTATGAAATCTGCAATTACTAGGAGGGTGAAGATGCTCTGCAGCGCACTTTCCACGTCAGAACAGAGGAAGCTCAGAGTCTAACATCACTGCTGATGATTTCCTGATCAAAAATGCTATTTATATCCTTGAATGTACAGTTACGTTCTTTTTTTTCCTCCTCTTCCTTCGCCTTCTCCTCTCCTTCTTATTTCTTAATGGTGGGCCCAATGTTAGGTCAGCAATCTCCAAAGTTTGCTAGTCAGTGGACACATAGGTGCTCATATGATATCTTTGTTTTTCTCCAATTGGTCTGCTGAGTTCCAGTTAAAATACTTATGACCTCGCCATAGGCTGAAATATTTCATAGATGACTGTGAAACAAAACCTGAACTCACATTTGCTAACATGCAAATAAAGACATATTTTCTTTCATTGTTTTGTGGTTTTTTGCTTCTAAGCTATACAAAATTTGGTTCCACCAGCTTGAGCTCTAAGGCACAGGGCTTAAAAAAATCCAATAAATAGAATATGTAGCAAATACCTAAATGGAGCTTTCGTGTTTAGTATCATCACCACTGAGGATTTATAAAACACTCAAAGGCAGGCCTATGCTATTTTACAAAACAGTCCTCACTTTCCTGTGGCGCTGTTGTCAGATTTGGGCAATATAGTGAAGGAAGACGGGTTTGTCTACACTGCATGAATCTTTTTCATTTTATGCCCTTCACCACTCAGTAGTGCTCACACACCCCTACCCACCATCGAGCACCAAATACATTCAGATTTTATCCAACTTCTCCTCACATTTCTCTTCTAAAACTTAAAAGTGAACAAAAGACTTTTTTTTAAAATAAAATCAGCAGCACATGGCCACTCCTGTCACTCAGCATAGGGCTCGCCATGCTGACACAGACAAACCTATGGCCCACTGTGATAGTTAAGGCTGTGTGTCAACTGGGCTGGACCATGATTCTCAGCAGTTTGGCAGTTATGGTGTAGTTTGGCAGTCGTATGATGATGTGATCAACTCCATGATAGGATCTGCTGTGAGTAGCCAATCAGATGAAATGGAGTTTCCTTGGGGATGTGGCTTGCATCCAATATAGGTGGACTTTCTGGCAAGGCTCATGGGCTTTTTCTCACTCTGGATCCTGCACTGGCTCCTGTTTGTCTGACCTCCAGTTCTTGGGACTTGAGCTAACAGCTTACCTGCTGTCTTGCCTGCCTATCTTGGGATTCTCGGTCTTTGCAGCCTGTAAACAAGAGCCCTGCTATCTGACATGCCAGTCTTGTGTTCACCAGCCCCTGGGGCTATGTGAATCAGGAGAGGCCTCCAGCCTGACCCACGGACTTGGCATGTTCCAGCCTCTACAACTGCATGAGTCATTTCTTTGATATAAATCTCTATGTATATATATTTATATGCAGTCTTAATTATCTAGTACTGCTATAACAGAAATACCATGAGTGGATGGTTTTAACAAAGATAAATTTATTTTCTCATAGTCTAGTAGACTAGAAGTCCAGATTCAGGGTGTCAGCTCCAGGGGAAGACTTTCTCTGTCTGTAGGCTCTGGAAGAAGGTCCTTGTCATCAGTCTTCCCCTGGTCGAGGAGATTCTCAGCCCAGGGACCCCAGATCCAAAGGACTTGCTCTGCTCCTGGCACTGCTTTCTTGGTGGTATGAAGCCCTCCTGTCTCTTTGCTTGCTTCTCTGTTTTATACCTCAAAAGAGATTGCCTCAAAACACAATCTAATCATGTAGATCTCATCAACATAACTGCCGATAATCCATCTCATTAACATCATAGGGATAGGATTCACAACACATAGGGAAATCACATCAGATGACAAAATCCTGGACAATCATACAATACTGGGAATCATAACCTAGCCAAATTGATACATCTTTTTGGGGGACACAATTCAATCCATGACATACACTTTACTGGTTTTGCTTCTCTAGAGACCCCATCTGCTTTATTGGTAAACATTGTTCAGCCCTCAGGAAAACTTCTCCACTTCTCTGGCTCTTTGTCCACAACACAGGGCTACTGCTGTGAAAGATTGCTGGTTGTTCCTCTGCTGATGTCGGAGAAGGGCATTGCTTCAGAGTATCCTCTTGGAGGACATGAATGCAATCGTTTCTTGCATAATTAGGCATTGCTTCCCCAAAGAGTGGAGCATTCTTTTTCTTCCTCCTCCTCATGTTTCAATTCATGGTTTTGATGGTACTCACACATTGGCAAGAAATTAAAATAGGAAGGAAAATGTTTGGATGAATCTGAAGAAGACTGATTACAAATAGTCCCAAACCTAATTTTCTTAGTGACTGTCTTAGTTATCTAGTGCTGCTATAGCAGAAATACCACAAGCGGATGGCTTTAACAAAGAGAAAATTATTTTCTCACAGTCCAGGAGGCTAGAAGTCCAAATTCAATGTGTCAGCCCCAAGGGATTGACACAGTGGCTGCAACAATGGATTTAAGTATAACAACGATTAAGAGGATGGTGCAGGACCGAGCAGTGTTTCATTCTGTTGTATATGAGATTGCTACGAGTCGGAACCTACTCGATGGCAGCTAAAAACAAAAACAACAGCTCCAAGGGAACGCTTTCTCTCTCTGTCAGCTCTGGGGAAGACCGTTGTCATCAGTCTTCCCCTGGTCTAGGAGCTTCTCAACGCAACGACCTCAGATCCAAAGGATGCGCTCCCTTCTTGGTTCTTCATTCTTGGTGGTATGAGGTCTCCATGTCTCTCTGTTCACTTCTTTCTTTTATATCTCAAAAGAGACTGAATTAAGACACAACTTAATCTTGTAAACTGAGTCCTGCCTCATCAACATAACTGAATCTAATCCTGCCTCATTAACATCATAGAGGTAGGATTTACAACACACAGGAAAATCATATCGGATAACAAAATGGTGGACAATCACACAATACTGGGAATCTTGGCCTAGCCAAGTTGACACACGTTTTTGGGGGGCACAATTCAATCCATAAGAATGACTATGTTGTAGCAACTATAGATCAAGGTATCGTCTCAACTGAAGAAAGTCTGAATAAACTGAACTCTATACTGTTATTTTTTTTTTTCCTTAAAGTATCTCAAAGTTGAAAAATCTGAGAGAGTAGGACTTAAGACATACTGTATGGAACAAGATATTGCTTTCAAAGATGGTTTAAAAAATCATAATTTAAATGACAGGGTTTGCAATATTTCCATAATAACAATAATTTAACACATGTGACCATATTACAATGTTAGATAGACTAGACCATTTCATTTAATAGTTTGCTAGCTTTAATAGCTTTTGAATATCTAGATATGTGATACATGAGCTTCCATTTGCAATTTTGCCACAGACCTGGAAAAAAATCTTAAATACTTTTTTTATTTTAAGAGCAAACAGGATAGTCTTTCTATCTATCTAAAGAAAAGGGTTTTTGGAGTTCTGGTCACAACTTGTGAATATCCACAATCTGCACAAATAAGTCACCTGAGGGATAGGACAGTGCTTGCATATGAGAAAATATGATAGTTCTTTAGAAGTTATGAAATAGTACATGATAGAGGTACAGAATGGATAACAGAGCTATAATTTTGAGCTGCATCTTCCTGGTATGTCTCATAAGAGAAAACATTAAAAAGATTTTTTAAAAATTGGGCATGCCAAATACACTAGTTTCCTGCGGCTGTTGTAACAAAGTACCACAAACTGGATGGCTTAAAGCAACAGAATTTATTCTCCCACAGTTCTGGGGTCTAGAAGTCCAAAACCAAGGTACTGGCCATGCTAGAGGCCCCCTGAAAGCTCTAGAGGAAGAATACTTCCTGCCTGTTCTACCTTCTGGCAGTCCAGGCATTCCTTGCTTTGTAACAGCATAACTCGAATTTCTGCCTCCATTTTGCATGACCATCTTCTCCCTGCATCTCTGTCTCTGTGTCTCTTCTGTTTTTTTTTTTTGTTTGTTTTTTTTAATAAGAACACTAGTCACACTGGATTAGGGTCCACCCTACTGCAGTATGACCTCATGTTAACTGAACTAATCACATCTGTAAAGATGCTATTTCCAAATAAGGTCATATTCACAGATACCAGTGGCTAAGACCTGTCTTTGGGGGATGCAAATCAATCCACAACACCAAGTAAGTCTGAGGTGAGAGAGAATTTGAGCAATAAACTGTCAATCTCACTGTAAATCTTTAAAATTATTTTCATATTTTAAATAACAGCAGTCCATTAACTATTCAATTTCACCCTTGATGTAAGACAAAGTTTAAGAAGGGCCCTAGCAGAATACTAAGCATCATCCAATTAATTCTTCAGTTCAACAAATTAAAGTCCCTTTGGTTAGCTTGAAGAACTAGAGAACATGGAGGCAGGAATTACATGCAAGGCTAATGAGTGTCCAGATATATCAAATGTTTTCACTGGATAATTTGTGCCCATTAATTTTACATTGAACACTGTAACAAAGGGATCTAAAAGTATTACTCTTGTGCTTGATTTTATTATCTTGTCCCTTTAGATACCATTCTCCACTCTTTTCCATCCTGCTCTGTATCCTGGAAAGTTGGCCTTTAGACTGAATTAACTGGACTTCTTTGCGTGCTTTGCACTTTTAAGTCTCCAACAGACTTAAAGGTGGAAGGAGAGAGATCTTAGTATTTATTCTCCACCTCCCCCTGAATGAACATCGGTAGTTATTGGACAAGCTACTAGTAAATGGCCCTCTTCTACAACTACAGCTCTAGCGAGTTTTTGCTAACTGCTCCCTCACCTTGCTCCACAGAGCCTGCAGGTTAGACAACCTCCCACTGTGCTTCTCCTTTCCTTACTGGTTTCCCTTAACCCTTTCTTTCCATACTTTAGTAAATAGTCTATTCTTTAAACTCTCCTTGTTCTCCCCTTTTGATTGCGGTATCTTTTTTTCTTGATGAAGCCCTGGCTGATAACACTATGTGTGTGTTTGATTCAATTGCACAGGCTGAGTGACCAAGAAAAAGCTTATTCAAAGGAGATTCATAGAGAACGTCAGAACTAATGCTAGGCTACCCTGATGAAGTTCCTCAGCCTCATGGTTTCAATACAAATAGACTTTAATGTTAAGTTATCCTTCTATGAGTATGGATTTGTCTTTCTCTTTGAAGGCCTGTCAATTTTTGCTTTATATATTTTAATACCAAGTTATTTGGTGCATACAACATTAGAATTGTATTATCTTCATGGTAAATTTAACCTTTTATCAGTACGAAGTAACATTATCTACCCTGAAGCCTTTTTTTCTTAAAATCTACTTTGTCCGATATAAAGATATTCTGGCTTATTTTTTGTTAGTGTTTCTTGGTATATTTTTCCAAATTTTACTTTTAAATTTTCTATATCACTGGGGTTTATATGTGTTTCTTATAAATAGTGTTGTTGTTGTTAGGTGCCACCGAGTCATTTCTGACTCACAGCTACCCTATACAGAGGTAATAAAATAATTATAATTATTCAATAGCATTCTATTTCTTGTAAGATTAAATTTCTTATAAGGCAATTCTATAGGATTCTTGTAGGATTCCTCGCTTCATGTTGAAGTTATGTATTGTCATGTGAATTGTTTTGGTCAATAGCATACTGTGGAAATGAAATGTGTTGTTTATAAAGGGGTGCACTTACTCAACAGTTCAAGACACTGCAGAGTTCTTTCCTTGCCTTGACACTCAAACATGGGTCAAGGTATAACTTCTGTGAACCAGGATCCCTATAAGACTATGAGCACTAGACGTGTTATTGTTTGTTGATTCCAACTCAAACAACCCCAGGTGTGCAGAGTAGAACGGCTCCACAGAATTTTCAAGGCTGTGACCTTTCAGAAACAGATAGCTAGGCCTGTCTTCCAAGGCATGTCTGGGTAGGTTTGAACCTCCAGCCTTTCTACTAATGGTCAAGCATTTAACCCTTTGTGCCACTCAGGGACTCCTACTGAGAAAAACAAACAAAAAAACATGTCATATGTGAAGTTATTGAGATTTTGGAGTCTTGTGAGTGCAGCATACCCTAAGATATCCTGATGAGTACAGAATTGGCCTCTCAAAGTGAAACAAAACACCTAAACTGCATGACATTGGCTTAGTAATTGATTAGTGGGCAGTGGGTGGCAAGAAAAAACATTATTCATTCCTGGAAAACTGGGAATCCATGTTAAGAAGTGGCAAAACCTTTGGTAAAATTGTCAGCTATGATCACCGGAAAGGCAGATCACGTATTTGAGGGTTGTGTAACTTTAGAGATTTTGTAGTAATTAAATAAATTTTAGTGGTACATTTGACAACTTATTTTTTAAAAATCAAGCTCAGAAAATAATTGTTTGCTTTGCAAATAGGAACAATTGCCAGGAAGAGTCCAGAAATTTGGGATCTTGCAGGGCTGGAAGAGGCAATTGCTTCACAGTATCAAAGCCGGATTAAAACTCAGCTTTCAGGCTAAGATCATTGTAAGACCGCGGCTGTCACATGCATGTTAAAATTTCTGAGTGGATTAAGTTCACACAATAAAGGTCCAGCTAATGGTTATTACACCAAGTAAATCCTTTCATTTTGACAAAACAGCTCAAGGCATAGAGACTAAATATCTGATTCTCCTGCCAAAGCCTCATATGCTCAAAGTGTCTTAACTCCAGAGAGAAAGGCGCGGAGGTGGAAAACAACGAAATATAGTAAACATAAAAAGGATAACTAGGAAAAAACTGTGGGCTGTTTGCTGGCACATGAAGCTGGCTGGAATCAAATAGGTAAGAAAGTAACTGAGTTTTTGAAAGACTTGTATTTCTGAATCTCACCAGCCAAGACTATGATGCATTTAGAACTGAAATCCTGTTCCAGAGATATATTTTAACATAACAAAAACAAATGGGAGAACACAGAAAATATAAGAGAATCTCTTGAGGATTATACTTTAGTTTTTTTTTTCCTAGTTCTAAAGTACATTTCTATTTATATGAGATTTATGTTCTTCCTCCCTTCCAGGACAACTTGAGTTGCCCTAAGCCCTGAGGGAGACCTGACTCCACAACAGAACTCTTAAAAAAAAAGAAACAGTACCCACCATTTAAACTCTTTACCATAGGTAAAGAAAGGGATTTGTGAGAGGAAGTGCCAACTCCAAAGAAGAGAAAAAGCTGAGGCAGCTGGCAAAGCTAACAAACACAGAAGTGACCACCGAGTACCCCAAACAAACCATCATTCTTCCAATGTTACCGGTGCTCTCAAGATGTAAAAAGTACTCCAGTAGAAACGAATTGGTGTGGGTAACCCGCAAGAAACATAGCTGGTGTTTAGCTAAGCTGGTGAGAATGAGGCCAGTGAACTAGATCATCCTCTTCTTTCTCCAATCAGGCAGTAACGAAGTCCAGTTAATGCCACCGTGAAAATGTCCTCCTCTGTACTTGGCTTCTCTTCAGAGAGAACAAAATCCCAGATTTTATAATAATTTTCATGAATTAAGAGATGGATATTTAATATTTATTTTTCAGTACTTCTCTGCTGCTATTTTGGCCTCCATTTCATTCCAATCAAAAAAAAAAAAAAATAGTCCTGTTGGATAGGACTATCTCTGCTTTATAAAATCGACACTCTTTTTTGCAAATGACTCAGCTAGCAATTTCCATTCTAGCAAATATTTTATTTTCTTTTATAAGACCCAGAGGTTATAACTTTCCATATTCAAAAGAATATCCAAACTTTGAAGTCTGCTGTTTTCTGATGCAAACATGGGCAGTTTTTCTTTCACTGTTTTCACTTTCTCGGTTCACCCTAAAATGTAACTTATGGACACATTAGTCTTCAATTAGAAAAGTAACAGCAGATTGAAGAATGGAATTGGCAGAATTCTGAATTTAGAGACGGCAATTCAGCATCACCATCACTATCAGCATTACTATTCATTAGATTTTAAAGCATTTTTATTTAAACTTTGAAACAAGTTAAAGGAAAATGTGTGACTAGAAATAATTTATGAGTTCAGAAAATATGGGAAAAAACCTGGGTAATTAAAATCAAAAGAAATATTTTTTGCTCCTTAAAATTAATAGATTAATTATTATAATATTATTCATTTCTTTTATATAGGTTTCTACTTTGCATTTTACAAGGTTTTTTTCCTTTCATTTTCAAAATTATTACGTGCAGTTGATAGGAATAAAGGATTCTCTGTATTTTGAAAATGTGCAAAATGGGGATCAGAAAAGTCAACACATTTGCCAAACATCACACAGCTATTAAGTAGCAAGAGTGAACTTGAAATCAGGACTTGGTACTCAAAATCAGAACCCTCATTCCATTAGTTATGAGTATTTTTTTGTAATAATTTTTTTTTAACTTTAGATGAAGGTTTACAGAACAAACTAGCTTCTCGTTAAACAGTAAATACATGTATTGTTTTATGACATTGGTTAACAACACCATGACATGTCACTACTCTCCCTTCTCAACATTGGGTTCCATATACCAGCTTTCCTGTCCCCTCTTGCCTTCTAGTCCTTCCCCCGGGCTGATGTGCCCCTTTAGTTTTGTTTTGTCTTGTGGGTTTGTCTAATCTTTGGCTAAAAGGTGAACCTCTGGAGTGACTTCATTACTGGTCTAAAGGGGTATCTGGGGGCCATTCTCTCGGGGTTTCTCCAGTCTCTGTTGGGCCACTAAGTCTGGTCTCTTTTTTTTGAGTTAGAATTTTGTTCTACATTTTTCTCCACCTCTGTCTGGGACCCTCTATTGTGATCCCTGTCAGAGCAGTCAGTGGTGGTAGCCAGGCACCATCTAGTTGTGCTGGACTCAGTCTGGTGGAGGCTGTGGTAGTTGT